ATTTGTAATCCATCTGCTACATTATCTCTAGGAGAGGCTTCTTGCCCTTCAAGTATGTACTCCTATATATACTCGCCCGTGAGGCTCAATACAACATCAACATATTCCGACAATCTTCTCTCTAATCCCTAGGAGAGTCTTCTTGCCCTCCAAGTCTATATATGTTGGAACCGCCAACTCCTCGCCTCACTCCTCCTAGCTCTCTCTGTCGCCGTGGCTCGAACCAACAAGGAAGAACAGGAAGGAGGAAGAAGAACAGGGACACGGCGAGGTGGTTTTTTCCGGTGCACGAACACCTTTTCTTGAGCACGAACTCAACACACACACCACAGCTATTACAATGGCCCTCGCGTGGCTTTATAGCCCCAAGCCGGCGCACCGGGCACGCACCCAACGCCTCCACTCGCTCCTGATCGCCCACGCTCCGCCCGCTCCGCTCGTGCCCGCGTCGCGCTCCGACGCGCGCGCCCCACGGCCAGCTCCAACGGCCACGCCCTCGATCGCCCACGCGACTCGCCCAACAGCTACACCTACACCCATGCACACGATGCACACGCGCACAGACATGCCCTGTGCTGCACCTGCACGCACACACGCGCTACTCGCCGCGGACCCGGCGCGCCCGACCCGGCCAGCCCGCGCCCATACACGCGCTGGTCGTGTCCGGTGCATCGCCACGGCTTATTTGCCCTAACATTCATGCCCTAAGCCGCGGCTCAAAGCAGCCCGGCGTCCTCGACGTCGGTGTCCGCCATCAGCGCACGCCCCGCGGCCGACTCCTTCTGCAGCAGGGGGCACTCCCTCTTGAAATGTCCTCTGACGCCGCACTTGTAGCACTTCCCGCGACGGTTGTCCCCTCCGACTGATGCTGTGTTGGCCGCGCCGTCGTCGTCGTCCTCTCCACGTGCACCGCCCCAGCGCCGCTCGCGCGCCCGCCACTGTGCCGTGGTGAGCATGAGCTGCTCACCGTCTGCCCGCTCACCGCCTGCCTGTCCTCACCGACGCAGCCGCTCGTCAAACGCCTTCAGACGCCCGAGCGCGTCCTCGAAGAGCAGCTCCGACAAGTTGCAGAACTGCTCCATCCCGGCGACCGCCGCGTATAGACGATCCGGGACGCAGTCCAGGAGCTTCCTCACCATTGCTGCGTCGTCGAGGGTCGCTCCCAGCCCGGTGTAGCACGCCGCCATGCCGCTGATCTTCCCTGCGAACGCGTCCAGCGACTCGTCGCTCGCCATGCGCAGGAGCTCGAACTCCCCGCGCAACGTGCCCAGCCGCGCCGCCCGCACGCGATCAGCCCCGACAAAACGCACCTTGAGGCTGGCCCAGACTTCCGCCGCCGTCTTCTTCGACGCCACCTGCAGGAGCAGGTTTTCCGCGAGTGCCCCGAGCAAGTACGCCCTCGCCGGCTTGTCCTTCTTGGCGATCACGGCCACCGCCGCGTCCTCCGGCACGACCACCACCTCCCACAGCCCGGCCGCGTCGAGGTTCGCCTCCATCTTGATCGCCCATGCCGTGTAGTTGTCGCCGGTGAGCTGCGGCACCGCCTGCGGCAGCGATCCGCCCGTACCGCCGCCGTAGGGGACGATCGACATCGCCGGCGCGCCCTGACCAGAACGTGGCTCTGATACCAAATGTTGGAACCGCCAACTCCTCGCCTCACTCCTCCTAGCTCTCTCTGTCACCGTGGCTCGAACCAACGAGGAAGAACGGGAAGGAGGAAGAAGAACAGGGACACGGCGAGGTGGTTTTTTCCGGTGCACGAACACCTTTTCTTGAGCACGAACTCAACACACACACCGCAGCTATTACAATGGCACTCGCGTGGCTTTATAGCCCCGAGCTGGCGCACCGAGCACGCACCCAACGCCTCCACTCGCTCCTGATCGCCCGCGCTCCGCTCGCTCCGCTCGTGCCCGCGTTGCGCTCCGACGCGCGCGCCCCACGGCCAGATCCAACGGCCACGCCCTCGATCGCCCACGCGACTCGCCCAACAGCTACACCTACACCCACGCACACGACGCACACGCGCATGGACACGCCCCGTGCTGTACCTGCACACACACACGCGCTACTCGCCGCGGACCCGGCATGCCCGACCCGGCCAGCCCGCGCTCATACACGCGCTGGTCGTGTCCAGTGCATCGCCGCGGCTTATTTGGCCTAACAGTCTATACTCCTATATATACTCGCCCGTGAGGCTCAATACGACATCCACCATATTCTGTCAATCTTCTCCCTAATCCCTTCTAACACTAACTATCAAACTTTGCCACATGATTATTACTAGGCAAATCTCATAAGCAAGATAAGGGGTTACGCTTATACGAAACCACAAGCTGTTTATCTGTGGTCAATTAAGGTAGGCCGGGTCGAAGCCTCTTTTCGTTCGATTTTTTTTGTTTTTGGTCAACTAGGGTAAGTTAGAATATTCCTGCAAGAAAAGGTAAACTATAAGGGTCTGTCTAGAGCACATCTAGATGTGCCCTAATTATTGCACATCTAAATGAGTGAATCAAGCACAAAGAGAAAAAGAAAAAAAGAAAAGGAAAATATCCACACGAATCTTAATGTAATATCAATGACATAGGACTTAGATATGCAATACTTATGGCACTTCTAGATGTGCTTTAGCAAAACTGAAACTTATAATTACTAGCTAGATACCCGTGCATCGCCGAAAAGTAAATTAGGATTACTATTTTTTTTGTCAACTAAGCCTTATATATAGATCCTACCGCCGGGGCTTTGCCGGGCGACTTCACCGACGGCGGCCAGAGGAGGGGAGGGCGGAAGCCGGGCTTTAGGAGGGAAGCCAGGGAGCGTCCCGGTGTGGCCGAATGGGGCTAGAGAGAAGGGTCTAAAAACTGAGAGATAATTTCACTTCCCGACCTCTGCCAATTGTAGCTTATATATGGCAGTGATAATCATAAGTAAATAATTAGAGAACAAATATAGTGAAAAAAAATTGTTTGTCAAAGCATGTTCAAATGGATGGAGTAGTGGTTTATACTTATAAGAAGCTTATAGCATACTGGTTAGCTACTCTTTATCTGGTATTCGGGCCTAACCGCGTTAGTTGGTTCTAGAACATATTTTGATATGCTTGGGCTAATAGATAGAACTATATATAAAAATAGGGTATATATAGTAGGAACGCCCATGCATGCTTTGAAAAATAGAACAAAGTGGTAAATGCGAAATCAAGCTGAGCTTATAAGTGCATTTTCTTCTTCAGAGAGTCGGCAGCAGTACATATGCTATGAGTTTTCTCACGTTAGGCAGCAACACTGCAGTATAAACTAGACCAGAGCATCATTGGTAACAGACTTGGAGGATTAACAAGATAAAAGTAATCAAATGGGTGGCACTCACATATTTTTATTTTTATTTTGAAAAGGAGGATAGACCTCCCGCCTTTGCATCTGGACGATGCATGCGGGCATTTTATTAATTATGCACAGAGACCATACAAAGTAATACATCAGTCAGCCAGAAGTCACCATCTACGCAACACTTATTGCTACCCCTATTCCATTGATGAAGGTGTGCCGAATATCCGAGCCTAATACCAAACGGACATCGCACCAAACCCTGTCTAAAGTCGGATGCCCCAGCCCAGCCACACACCAGGACTGGGTCCCATACCAGACCGACGTACTCTCAGAGGGTGCCGCCACCATCTTCCACCGGTCCATCTTCAGAGCAGTAACTGACCCATTGACCTTGTCTGGCCTGCCGTCGACGTCATCACAACACCAGACAACTCCACCATGCTGCATGTATATCTGTCCACAGTCGCCCGTCGCCGAACCTCCGCAGTGCCAATGCCACCGGGTGGCACTCACATATACATTTCTACAATCTTCCTTTTTGCCAGGAGGCACTATTCCCATATATTGCTTCTAGAAAATGCATTTAATTCGAACATGTGCTACACCTTGACCAAAAGGCTCATTCTCATGTCAGCAGCTGTACGTCCTCCACGGCAGCAAATGACATCTCCTGCCTCTCACGAAATAGCAAGTCACTAAGATTTGGGGTATAAGTTACTTGATTTGGTTTGAAATTAGTTTCATTTCATTGAACAAATCCATGTTATAGAGATTACTAAAGAAATACTGTACTTTCCTACTACAGGAATTAGTTGCAAGAAAACAATTTTATGTGGGTGAGATAAGACGATCAATGCAGGAATGCACATTTCTGGACTAGTGAGACTTGGTAGACGATTATAAAATGCATGGGCGAACCGAATGCTAAGGCTGGAGATGCATAATTTCAACATAATTGTATCCTTTGTTGATTTCCTTGACATGCTCATTCTCTGTGGTACAATCTGCATAATTTCAGCAGACACTTTACACAGAGTGCCGAACCGAATGCTGTGGCCTCATTATTTTGAAAAAGAGACTGCCATATTGTGAATTGGAGTCACGTCTCTGATGTCACAACCAATTAAATTAAGAGTGACAAAATGAAGGCTACCTCCTAGTGTGGTGTCTTTTCCCTCATGAGGGGCAACATGTACTACTCCACCGCTCTCATCTAACATAGCTGGTCAATCATTTCAGCTAGCACAGGCAGTGTCATGCTTCATGGGGCCTAGGTTAAAAGTTAGTTAACTTTTGCGCAATAATATGCATTACATGCATATCTAATCCAACTGGTCTAGACTTAGAGAATGTGTGACAAGATTTATTCACAAACGAAAGAGAGTAAATGATCGATGCGCCCGCACTAACCCTTAAAGAATGAAGAAGCAGCTTCATGACCTATTGTCACCACTCAAACATATTCTTGTATGTCCTAGTTAGAACATATTCCGAAACTCCTGTGGAAATCTGGCCTCCGGCTACTGATCAGAATGTCTTGATCAACCATCTCTATAAATAGCCCCCTTCTCTTCAACTTCTAATCAAGCCATAACAGCAAGCCACACTTGAGCTCTCCTGTCCTATCCTAGCTCACCAAGCTCCAGTGGTGTCCCTTTCTTCCCAATCATGTCGATGATAAATATGTCCAGGGACCCATTGGTCGTTGGCCACATCGTTGGGGATATTGTGGACCCTTTCATGACTACTGCGTCATTGAGGATCTTCTTCAACAACAAGGAGCTGACAAACGGGTCTGAGCTCAAGCCATCTCAAGTGTTCAACGTTCCAAGAGTTTATATTGGCGGGCGAGACATGAGGAATCTGTACACGCTTGTAAGTTTGCATGCTTGATAACTTCACGTCAATTAGATGGCTTTGGTTCTTCACCTGTGGTTTGGTTTTTCCGACTTACTTGAAATCAGGGATTGGTCCTAGGTAGTGGATGATATGCTTTTCTCATGGCTACATATATTGGTTGACCCAGATCAGCATTTCTCCTAAAGCGTCTCTAATTCTGCCTTGTAATATTAGACGAAAAGCAAGGAATATAATCTTTTGTTGACTTTAGAACCTGTATGTCTAGCTGATAGGACAAACTGGCCTCTTAGGTTAGCTCTTTCTTAGTAGTATTTGGCTATTGGTAAGGTGTTGTGTTTGAAGCACAACTAAGTTAAACTTACTGGCTAATTATTTTCACGGTTTTAACCCCATCAAGTTATGTATTTAACTGCAGTCATTAGTATTCAGACTAAGAGAATAGAGAGCATCTATAAGAAAATATTGGAGAGATCATTTTTTGAATTTCTAAAATTGGTGAACAGGACATAATTCACATGCATGTATTGATCTATCTTGTTTCTAGGTGATGGTGGACCCTGATGCACCAAGCCCCAGCAACCCTACTAAAAGAGAGAACCTTCATTGGTAAGCTCCTCTATGTTACTTTTTGCCACGCGGCTGAGTGGTAATCCACAGGCCCTTTCCTCCGTACAGGTTCGCTTTATATGCATGCCCTCTGATATGCATCCTCTTTCTGGTTGATTGGAGGTGCATGTTATCGTCTTAAGATAGTACTAATCAATCAATTTCGACTTTCTGATGCATATATAGGTTGGTAACAGACATTCCAGAGACTACTGATGCAAGTTTTGGTAAGTGATTTGACTCTATCAGTAACTGCAATGTTACTTCTGTCTTATGTTAAAGTTAATTACTGTTTTAAGTTTCAGAGCCGGCAGAGCCCTTGCACTGCCACGGCTTCTATGGTACACCCACATAACAAATATTACCTCTGTCCCGAATTAGTTGTCTTACATTTGTCCAGATATGGATATGTCTAGACACGTTTTAGTGTTAAGTACATCCGTATCTAGACAAATCTAAGACAAGTAATTTGGGACTGAAGAGTATGAAATTAGAGGCTTGCTTTTGAAAGAGAACATGATTCTAATTTGACGAAAGCTTCAACAAAACATGGGTTTATTAGACATTTTCTTCAGGCTTCGATTATCGCCAAAGCCATTATTGGCAGCAGTGTCTAAAGGATATTTATGGTACTGAAAATTTTCATGCATCCATAAATCTCTTTCCCATTAGAGCCAGTTGTTATCATAGAAATGCTTAAAAACATCTGATCAACATAGAAGCCACTTTTTTATCATGAAAATGCTTAGTCCAGTTAATAAATGAAAACGTACAAGCAGACGTCCATTAATATGTTTTATTTATTGTGTGCAACAGGAAATGAAATAGTCCCCTATGAGAGCCCACGTCCAACTGCAGGAATCCATCGTTTCGTTTTCATCCTGTTTAGGCAGTCAGTCAGGCAGACCACTTATGCACCAGGGTGGAGAGCAAACTTCTGCACAAGGGACTTCGCAGCGATCTACAATCTCGGATCGCCTGTCGCTGGGATGTACTTCAACTGCCAAAGAGAGAATGGCTGTGGTGGTAGAAGGTACATTAGGTAATATATAGTTGGGCGCAACCTTACCTCCTATATATATATAGCTTATATATAGTTGTTTCTGGTGTGAGTTTGCCTCTCTGAAGGAAAGATAGAAACCGGGAGATAAGTACGCATGAAGCACAACAAATGCTTGAATGTGTGCGTGTGTATGTGTGTCTGTGTGTTTGTTTGTCTGTTGTGTGGGCATTGCATGCTACTGGTCCAGTCAAAATTATATATAGCTAGTAACTGAGTAGTACACTAAATATTGCAATGTGCCCTTGTTTGCTTGATCCCAAAAGAGTTGGGCTCCAGTCCCTGTGAGATACCAAAATGTGGTTGTGTGTTGCTGAAATACAGACGATTCAATGTACGCATTCTGCCAAGTTTTACGACCAGTTGCTCATTGTCATAGTAGTACATGAACTGCCCCGTGTGTGCACAGTTCGAATTTCTGCGCACATTGTCTAAGTGGGGCTTGTGATATTTGAAATGCTCTAGACAAGGTGATCGTAACCTATGTTGAGCATTTTTGCGAAATATTCACAAAACCATTTTTCTTGTATAAAAAATGTGAATCATATTTTCAAGCTCATTTTCAAACCGTTTATCAGAATTATGCTAATGGTATGACATGGAAAGTTGCTGCAAATGTGCTCATCTTTTATGTAGAAAATTTCCCAAATTCCCTATGGTTTAAGAGGAATTTGAAAAATGGCAAAGAAATTGAATGAGTGAAATAGTATTTTTAAGCTAATTTCTAAATGGTTTAACCGAGTGATGCAAACGATATAGCGCTGGAAAGTTTATGCAAACGCAGTTATATTTCATGTAGATTTTTTTCCAATTAGAAACTATTTAAGAGTAATTTGAAAACGGGTAGAAGTTTGAACGATATTGCATGTTTGCTTTCATCTATCAATGGTTAGTTGGAATGTAGCAAATAATACAACGTTCGGAAGGCTGATAAAAATTCAAAACATTTTGGTATAGAACTTTCCTCCCAATTCCTCAAGATTTCAACTGAATTTTGAAATAGGCAGAATATGTTTCGAAGACAAAAAAATTTGAAAACTTTTTTCGGAATGAGGCAAATGATATACCGTTGGAAAGTTATAAAAAATGTGGAATTTTTTCATGTAGAAACTTTTCTATAATTACTAGAAATATTAATGTAATTTAAAAAATGGTGAGGTCGTGTGTTGCCTTCATCACGAAAATAGAGTGTTCGAAACGCACTATGTGTAGACTTTAAACTTCTGTGACACTTTTGTTCAAATTCGCTATGTTTCATGTGTTGTTTTGTCCATAATTCCTCAAACATTCATCAGAATTGAGTAAATAATATATTGTTTGAAAGCTGGTGAAAAGGAGCAACCTTTTCGTTTTAAACATTTTTTTTTCAAATGACCACATTTTAAAAGAGGTTTTGAATACACTAAAATTTGTTTCCAATGATATACACCGAAATTTTGAACCGTTCAGCGGAATAAAGCATATGATATACCGTTGGGAAACTGATGAATAAGAGAAATTTTTTCATGTAGAACATGGAAATATTGAGTGCCAGAAATTTGGTGAAACAAAAATTAATCAACGTTTCACCATAATGCTGGCACGCATTTTGAAGGCCTACCAATATTAAGTACCACTAGAAGTGAAGGCGGTACAATATATCAAATAAGAATGCATACAAAAAGGGAGTGCTCGATTTGAGAAAAGGAGCGCATATCATGTTGTGAAGAGATAATGACATGACTCAAACAAGAAAATGTAATGGTCTGCATTGCATTGCATCAAACACTTGGCATGTGGTACATTAAAGGTATCTGATATACTCTCAAACGCAAAAACTAAAAGGAAGTACAATAAATCTGGCTGTGCATTGCATCAAACACTTGACATGCAATACATAGGGGAGGAGGGCTTAAAGGGAGATGGTGGTCGCCAGCGCGCAAGGTGATAGAGGAAGGGGTAGGGGCGTCTGTGTTGGAGGAAGAGCCTGATGCATGTGGTAGTGGCGTCAAGCCGGAGGTGCTGTAGGAGGAGGCCATGGGACAAGGACATCAGCTACGAGGCTTGGCGGTGGTGGTGGAGGAGGGAAGCGGGCTGGTGTCCGGCATGAGGTCAGCGGTGGTGAGGGTGGCCAATGAGGATGGCCTCCCACGACAGCAACGGCGGTGGCTCCTATGACGGGCGAGGCGACAATGGTAAGAGCATCTCCAGCCGCGCCCCCAACAGGCCCCCCAGGCCACCTTTTCAGCGCCGGCGCCAAAAAAAGCCCCAGTCGCGCCCCTAGGACGTCGAAAAGCACCAGTTCGGCCCGTTTTTGGGCCCGGTGCTCGCAGGCCGAACCCGGCGCACTAGGGGGCGATCGGGGGCTCCGGCGCAAGGGAAAAGCGCGGCTGGCCCACCCCGTCAGCTGAAAAGTCAAGTCTTTCTTCCCAGAGTCTCCTCCCATCCCCCGCGCCCTCGGCCGCCACTAGCTGTATCCCGGCGTCGCCCACCGCCCTTCACCGCTAGATAGCCAATCCCCGCCAAAAAAATAACAGAGGTTCACTGAGGCAGCCCCTCCATCAGCAGCTGGGTGTTTCCGACCGCCATTTCCGGCCGCGGAAGGGCAGTTTAGCGGCGGGTACACACCCATCAATGCGCTAGGTGTTCAGCGATTTGCCTACCTCGACGAGATGGACTCGGATGATGAGGAAGTGCTCGCCGCGCTGCTGGAGGAGGAAGCCGAGGCCGACGTCCAGGAGGAAGAGCATCTCATGGTGCTCGCCGCCCTCGCCCAGCTGCTGGCGAGCAATGAAAAGCCGCGGCGAGGTGGCTCGGTGCCGGGGCGAGTGAAAGCAAAGAACCGGCATCGTCTCGAAGGCTACTGCATGCTCTATCTACTTCGCGGACGCTCCACTGCACGGCGACAAAACATTTTGACGCCGTTATCGGATGAGCCGAAAGCTTTTTCTTAGGATTGTGAATTCCATCCGGAAGTTCGACAGCTACTTCAAGTGCAAGAATGATTGCACCGGAAAACTTGGATTCACCTTGATCCAAAAGTGCACGACGACTATGGGTGCATGGCCGAGTCCACCGACATTGAGTGTTTCTACAAGTTATGTCGGGCAGTGGTGGCAGTGTTTGGACCGCAATACTTGTGAACCCCCAATGCGGAAGACACTGCTCGGATCCTAGCACAGAATGCAGCAAGAGGATTTCCTGGGATGCTTGGAAGCATCGACTGCATGCATTGCAAATGGAAGAACTGCCCATTTGCTTGGCAAGGGATGTACAAAGGCGCCAAAGGCGGTTACAGTGTGGTACTTGAGGCGGTGGCCACACAAGACCTCTGGATTTGGCACTCCTTTGGTCTGCCAGGAACTCACAATGACATCAACGTGCTGCAGTGCTCCCCTGTCTTTGCCAGGCTTGTTGAAGGTCATTCTCCTTCGGTGAACTTTGAGGTCAATGGGCGACACTACAACAAGGGGTACTACCTAGCTGATGGCATCTATCTGAGATGGTCTACATTTGTGAAGACTATCTCAAACGCTGTGCTAGCAGGCAAGAAGTCCCACTTTGCCAAGGTGCAGGAGGCTTGCAGGAAGGATATCGAGCGGGCATTTGGTGTGCTCTAATCTTGATTTGCTATTATCCGCTATCTTGCTCAGACCTGGTCGAAAGATCAAATATGGGAGATCATGACTTGCTGTGTCATCTTGCACAACATGATCGTCGAGAGCGAGCGGTAAGAGCGAGTGTTTAACACTGAACCATACTACAGGCAGGGTCCTCTAGCTGAAGTTGATCACCAGCTACCGGCAACCTGGACTGCCTATCTCAGTATGCATCAGGAGATCCTAGACCCACATGTGCATCATCAACTGCAACAGGATCTGGTGGAGCACCTATGGAGGCTCAAGGGCGACGCCAGGCTCGACGTGTGATGAAATATGAGTTTTTATTTGTTGAACAATATAATTTGTATTGAACTATTTGTTGTTGCACTATTTTGTGGAACTATTTGATTTTCTGTGATGAGCTATGTAATAAAAAAATATTTATGTTCATAATTGAACGCCGAGCCACGGCGAACCACGCCGAATATGGGCCGATTTCACCCATACGGGGCCTTTTTTTCCCCGAAGGTGGGCCGAAAACTAGGCCAATCTCAGCGCATGGGGGCGACGACTGGACGCCCAATCGCCCCCAGTGCCGATTCTATCGCCGGCTCGCCCCCAGGGGGCGATTTTTATGCCTCCTGGGGGGGGGGGAGGGGGCAACGGCTGGAGATGCTCTAAGTGCGCGTGAGGCCGTCTTCACTTTGCAAACAATCTACATCATAGGCTTTTCAAATATTCTTAAAACTTTAATCACATACTCTACATGTCCTTTAATGACGCGGTGCAAAGTTTCATAGGTTTCAAACACCATTATTTAAATAAACTATTTTACATAATTATAATTAAGTGTGTGCTTTGATTTTGACATATACATATTTGAAAGTAGCAATTTTTGTTTTCATTACACCTAAATACCTTATTTATGCTATTTCTTCACATCTTTCAAAATTACTTTAAATTTATAGTTACAGTTCAAACTTTAATTATATATAATTAAATACAAATTTATTAATAAAATGTCTAAAATATAGCAAATTAATGAACCTAAAAAGCTCAAACCATTTTCCATACAATACTATAGTCACAAAAACAATAACACACTAAAATTTAAAAGAATGCAAAAAATTACCTACATGTTTGATCAGTGTGGG